CCACGAGAGAAGGCTGAGGGGGGATCTTGTGGCCTGTTACAAACTGGTCAGGGGGGATGGGAAGGCATTGGGGGAGTCACTGTTCCCCCGAGCACAACCAGGAGTGACCAGGAACAACGGTCACAAGCTAGCAGAGAGTAAATTTAGGTTAGACATCAGAAGGTGCTATTTCATGGTCAGGGCAGCTAGGGTCTGGAATCAACTTCCAAGAGAAGTGGTGCAGGCTCCTACCCTGGGGGTTTTTAAGAAGAAGTTAGATGAACACCTTGCTGGGGTCGTTTGACCCCAGTACTCTTTCCTGCCATGGCAGGGGGTCAGACTAGATGATCTTCTCGGGTCCCTTGCAACCCTAGAAACTATGAAACTATGAAAAGGCCTTTGGGCTTGATTAACTAGGAGCACTTTTGTGCCCAGCACAGCTTCCCACCTTGCATAAATGCACCTGTCTCTAGGGTACCCTGATTATTTTCACTCTGGATACAGGTGAAACCATCCACTTGTTTATTTTCAGCTGCTTGGTACTGATCTTGCACCTCAGCCCAGGCAAGACTCACAAAAGGCATCCTACGCCCCTCGTGCATGATCTGGTAAGTGTGATCAGAGCTTTCTGCGTCCTAGAGGAGGAGATGGTGCTCTTTTCTCCCACTGGGGGACTCTGGTCCAAGGTTTCTTTCCACCTGAATCAAAGCAGGAACTTGAGTTTAGGCCCTCTGCATCTCATCTAACTCCTGGGCCACTTGGGTGTCCTGGGGTGGAAGTCTCCCCACCGCTCCTATGAACCTTTTCTACTTGATATCAAATTAGCATTTAGTGCACCAGTCTGACAAAGATGATTAAGTCAAACTGAGGATTCTACAAGGAAGCAGGCCACCTCAGTATGACAACACTGAACCTACAACCTGAATCTAGCTCTTTGAATTTGGATGTTAGTTGTGGCATTGACGCAAGTTGTCTGAGTGCAGGACAAGAACAGTCAAGGAAGCCACATTCTGCACTACCTAGTTCACACTTTTTGGCCTTGTTTTTCAGAGTAGCTCTCCAATGAGGCTGCTGCAGGGAAAACCAAACACAGATTATTGTTTGGATAACCCTTTCTTACTAGGTGGCATGTGGAGCTGTTCAAGAAACACCACTTCTGAGCAACTCCTTTGCTCACCAGATCAAGAATGTCTCTAAAAGCTGCATCAGTCAGCATGTACCAGCCCTAGGATGAGGATTTCCTTGTATTGGACTGCAACAGAATTTATGGGGGAAATAGTCTCTCCTCCCTGGGTTAAACAAGCATTTAAGTGCTGCAAAGTTCTCCCCACAGAACTTGAGCCATTATTGCTGCAGTGTTTGAGGTGAACAGAAGATGGCACCAAAGACAGGCATTTCATTCACACAAGGCTGACAGAGGGGCCAGCATCTGGGAGCAAATGTCTGCTGTAGTTAATATCACAAACCCTTTTTCACATTTGCTACTTTTAAAAACAAAAATTGCAGGATCAAATGAATGGACTTAGTGCAGTAATTCTCAACCAACCAGTGCTATGCAAGCCTTTTAAAGGTGCAATGGAATTGTAGTGCTGTTAGGTTTGCAAACACTTATAAGATTCACAGAATAAGTCCAGAGATTTCAAATAGGAATCCATCGTATCAAAATTGTTCTGACCTGTTGTGGTCTCTCTCAGTTCTTTGCAACAGAAGAACTGTTTTATTCTTTTTCCTTAGTCAAGACGTGAGTGAATGCGAGGAGCTAGCATTTCCTACATGATGCCTTGAGTCTGAACAAGCTGAATACTGACTCTGGTCCTTGTTCCAAACAGACAGGAGTATCAATGCTTTTCTTGTGGCAAACGGTAGCAGAAACTCTGTGATCTTTTCTTCTGATTGCAACCGCTGTGTACCCTCAACTGAGTGCAAACACCGTATTAAGTAGTGCTGTGGAGAAGTTACACTACTCACCACACTTTTGCAGTGGAAAACTTGAGGTTACTGGAACTGTTCTGCAGTTTATCCATAAATCCTCACCCATTTTCTAAAGTAAGAACTGCAAAATTGTAAGTATTTACCATGCTGGATGTTTCTACTGTGGTAAGAATGACGCTAACTGAATATCCTTAGCTATAAAGACCTGTGGAAAGCAATCAACTGCTATTTTATATACATATGACTGCTGTTTTCCTATGTTCCTCAATGCCCTCCCTAGGCTAGTGCAGGATGAAGGTGACAACTTTTCTGTTGTCTGTATTACAACCTTTCTGCAGAACTGAGTGAGACTTTTCTATATCCTTGGGACTCTTAAGCACTCCTGCTGGACACTGAAATCGAGCCGATTAAGGACAAGGGATTCCTTTTGAATGAAATGGGTTGTACTTTATTGCAAGTTTTTACATTCCTTTCATTGTGGCTGTGGTTAACATGATTACTTCCCTCTCCCTTCCCTCACACACAAGCAGGTCTTTCCTAGGCTGAAAGAAAAGAGGTTTTTCTTCTTTCAGCAAAACTGCAGACTATGAAAATGTTCTTGTGCTTTGGAAGAAAAAAAGGTCTTGCTCCTTTCGAGAGCACAGGAGTGTTGGTCTCTGTATTAGATTCTCCTGGTACTACAGATGGGAAGCTGAGGAACAGCTATTTGAGCTGAAAGCTTTCAAAGCATGTAGTTTAGGCTTCCACTGGGACCAGGGATCAAGCCAGCAATCCAACCAAGATGACATTCTAAACAACCCAACAGAAACAAATAACCAGACAGCTCATTCCTAGGGTAAACCTGGGTCTCCAGCTCAATACACATGGCTGTCCAGCAACTTCAAAATGCAATTCTTTAACCAAATACTTAGGAATGGATGAAGCCATTTCCTCTGCACTGGCTCTGCGATGCTGGGGTACCCTTCTAGCACAAGGCTGGGGGTTCAGTCACTGCAGCAGTAACCACAGGCAGAAGATCTATTCCCTCTTCCGTGAGTCTCCAGGCAGCTCAATGTTATGAGACCTTGGGCTGCATGCTGAAGTGTACTGTGACATTGATGTATAAGGGGTTGTGTTCCACCGAGAGCAGCTTATAGGAACAGGAGTTGAGCCCATCCGTCTTCCATACCCGGGACACCTGTCGCAATAGCTTCATCCTGCAGGCACAGCAAAGGAAAAGTATTCTTTGAAGTACACCAGAAATGTGCGAGATCTGAGCTGTATCCCATGCCCTGGTAATAGGTGAACTTGCAAGGGTAGGGACATATATTTTCTTGTGCACCAGAAGTATTGGGAAGCACCAAGCCCTGCTTTCTTTTCCTTTGGTAAACTCACACATCCATCCCCAAGAGTTGATAAGCTATTAGGAAAGCCTGGCTTTCTAACCTGAGTTTTCTAACATCCTTGCATAGTCATACACGCTCAAACCATGGATGCCTATCCATGGTGTCTGCCACATCTTAACTTTGCTTTAAAGTTTTTTGTGGTTACTTACATGCATGGTTTTGGGAAATGCTAAGCCACTAAAAGAGAACCCCGCTTACGAGCCTC